AAACCAGTGCTCTAAAAGAAGCATAGCCTCAAATGTTGCATTATGAAATACTGTTGTTTCTCCTGCACCGATACTCCGATGCCTCACAACTTCATATTCAGCAGCAAATTGTGTAAGAACACTTCTGTTTTGGTTTTGCTGTTCATGAAATCAGTAATACTCAATGTTGTGGTTTAAGCCATTAAATAGGTGCTGAAGTCGATCCTTAGGAAACCAGTAACCTCTTTGTCATTCACTGTTTCCCCATTCAGTTTATTACTTGCCCTTTTCACCAGTTTCACACTTTTTATACTTACACATTCTCCAGCTTTATTAATCATTTCCTATATGATTCTGCATTAAATGCCTGGAAGCCCAAATGAACTGGTTCTATCATACTTCTCTTGTCCAGTAAATCGTTATCTTAAACATAGATACAAGTTAGCTTGACATGACACAAAGCAATACTGCATTTTACCTCAGTTTCCATTTATCATCATGGACTCTTCTTCCAAAATCAAAGTTCTAAAGCTGTAAACTGTTGAAGTCAGGCCACCAGATATTTGGTTGCTCAAATCACTTTCTTTACTTAATTTAATTATTTTCTGCATGGCAATATGTCATACTAGACACATTTCTTTCCCTGCTGTCTGTAAACTGTGGAAGTTGTCATCTTCCCTCTTGACTTACATCACCTGACACAAAGCACTCAAAACATGCACTAAAAAGAAAGACCACTCATAAAACTGTTCATAAAAGGCATACAAATATTCCTCCTCTAAGTGAGCACAGTTTTCTCAGGACCACTATACAGTATTATTTAAAGGTTATTTCAATGTGAGCTCTCATCTCCCTGTGCTTTACAGAGCAGACTTGATAGAAAATTCATACACAATCACTCTATGAGGAATACTTAAAACCCACCAGATCTGCCTTGTTTCAGCCACTAGTAGAACAGCAGTTCTAAGCCTGGATTTTCAAGAGTTACCATAAATGTAAAAAGGGGGGGGGGGGGAACACATCAAATTATCCTATCAGTCTTCTTTCACAAGTGTGATTCTCCTCATGGAATTGACTACATGACTATCAGGTAATGGCAGCACCTTACTTTCTTGGGTATGCTGTAAAAACAACACATAGCTGTCTTATTAGATGCATTACACAACCTATTTGCCACTTCACTACTGTTTTAATTTTAGAAACAAAAAAAACAAACCCTAAAACAAAGCAAAACATCACATTTAAAGGAGTCTGAACAGTCATTAGAATTAACAGCTTCCTGATTTTTCCTGGACAAGAAGGCATTGGCACCTTGCCTCTTTCCTTCTGGATGGGATCTGAGAAATAACAATGCAAATATATTAATATTGCATGGTCAGGGCTACTTTCTATTAATAAGCCATTAATAAAATGACCTTTGCACTACATTTAAAGATCATGAAAATCAATATTTATTCTGAGGTCAGGGAAAAAAGAAATCAATCTTGCAGTGAAATGTGTCATATTTAACATATCCTATCATTGTAATTAACTTTATACATAAAAAGTAGCGTTGACAGGTGAATAATTAATGTTATAACAAATGAGTTTCCCTTCTCAAACAACTTTATGTGGATAATCTCAGAAATGGAAAGACCTTCTCCCCAGGTGCTTTGCCAAATTCATTCCTCTCTCTTTCTCTAAACCTTTTCACATCACTGCTCTATAGGGGGGGAAAAAGTCACTGTTTCCTGTAAATCAAGAACACTAGTGAGATCCTGCTAATATTCCTGTAATTTCTTCATTTCCATTTCTAGATATCCTTTGAAAAGGCCTGGTGTCTAAGCAGTAACCACCATAGAAGCTTAGCAACCTTCCCCCTGCTCTTATGCCTAGGATAAAATATACAATACCACCAGTGGAGGCAAACTACTTATTTTCTTTGCAAGGCTGTAATAACCAACTTCATACAAATCTTGTGTTCTGTATGTGTTTGGTTTTAGAGGGGAAAAGCCTAAATTAGAAAAGAAAGCTTGAAACAACAACAGAAACAATGACAAACACAAACATACATTTGAGCTGACTATATGGGAAACCATTTCTAATGCATCACCTGTCCACAAGAAGGTAGAGCTAATGTTCACCATCAGGTAATAGCCATGGCAATTGCACATACACAGTAGCTCTCACCTGAGAATACCCACACCTTAAAACAAGCTGCCCAGACTGCTTCAGATAGATTAAATGAAACAAATAGGAAATAATTTGTATATGGTCAGTCTGTAGCAAAGCCAGGATTATGATTCCAGGAATTACTCCCATAAAGAATATAATTCCCGATCCCTTTCTCTGCTCTAACCACTAGACATTCTGCTCTCCCTGTAAATTCAATCCATTCCCACAGCAACAATAAACTTAGATTATATCTTTGTGCTTTTCTGAAAGTAAATAAACATGGGTAAGGAAACACTTTCTCTTCAGTGCTCATAAACAACTGCTTTCTTAAAGGTATGAACAATAAAACCTCTGACATACAAGAGATAAGGAAGACACCCTCCAGCTATAGTGAAAGGAACTGGGAGTAACACCTCATACCAATAGCCATTAAAATGATGCAAGAGCAGGAACACATTAGCAGAGAGGAATCCTAACCGGACAGATGGATTCTGCACCTCATTTGAAAACCAAACATAATTTCTTCCCTGTTTCAGGAGTTTTGGTGCTTTTCTCACTGTAAGGTTTAACCTCGTGGTATTAATCCCCTGTTCTTGTCAGTTCTGTATGGAGAGCCGATTACAAATTTCCACAGTATTGGCAGCAAGGTGAGTGGACAGAAAAGTCACAGTGGTAAAACAGCCCCTAAAAGTGTGGAGTCATTCATTCATTCAGGCTACTTGGTATTAAAGCAACTATCACCTATTGCCATTGTCATTTCCTGTACTTTAATAGAGCTCTTCAAATAATTTGTTTGCAGTATTATATTTAACATGAAAGCTCCAAGATCTCCAATTTATTGTATTTTCTTTGAAGGGATAACTAATTCCTTGCCTGCCTCTTAAAAGTCTCAGCTGCTTTCTTCTGCTCTGTTTAACACATAAAAAACTTTAATACTTTAAACTTACTGTGAGATGCAAAATAAGAGAACTGTCTACATGGAAAACCTTAATCAGTCAGGAAGTTGGTAAATTATGTCTTCATGCCATCCATATTGAGTGTCCATTACTCCTGGACATAGCACATTAACTGACTCATTAGCTATTTCAAACCATATGGACTTAGGTTTGGGTGGGTTGCTCTGATAATATCCTGAGGTGAGCTTCCTAATTATTGTAATTATGTGATCTCAATCATGGGGCCAGTCACACAAAATAGAGTCAAGGGTCTTTAAAATGGGTGTCAATGCACCCAGACAATGACTGAGTTGAGCAGCATGCCCTCTGGATGTTGGAGATCCCTTGGTACTGCAAGAAATAATTACTTCAAAAGTTCTATGAAAGTGGTAGGGAGCACAGTGAATTAGCACAGCAAGCATGGGACGTCACACAAACACACCAACACAAATGGATTTCTCAGCAGAAGCTAGGAAGCAGCTCTGAAACTTGATGCCTTGTTGTCAATGGTCTTAATACAGAGATGTTACATCTGTTGGGTAAATTTAGCCATGGTATTTTAAGCAACAAGGAGTTCTGGAGGGGTGGGGGGAATTAAATGTGGAAGTGCTAAAATGACAGTGTTAAATACCACAAAAGCATCACAATGCAGCAGTGAGCAAAGCAACCAGTTGCTTGCCTACTGCAGCAAATTTAAGGGTCTTTGTTACATGATACTGCAAGATTTCACATAATTCAGTAAAACCTTGCATCCTCAAGCTTAGGTTTGAGCAAGAAGAAGAAAGGATTGAAATAAATGGAAAATAGACCAAGTATTTAATATATAGTGTTTTAAAGCAAAGCCAAAACCAAATACAGCCTCAGGCCTGAAATAAAAATAGTTTGCTATGTTTTTAAACACTTAAAGAAAGCACTCACCCTCTGAGAATCCTACCACACTTTTTAAATGCAACCCATGGTAATACAGCATAACTTTTAGTCACCTTCTAGACCTTATTCTAGAAAAACAATTAGAAGTAGGGTGCTGCTTCTGAATCACAGGTGTGGATAGAACTTCCAAAGTTTGAACCTTACAGGCTCACTTATAACTTTCAAAGTGCCTTTGGGGCACCTACAAATCCAGAAAGCCATATATTAAATAGCACCAGGCACCTGAATACACAACAAAATAGCAGAACCTTGTATTGAAATGTTACTTGGGTATATAACTTTGAACCATTGTATGAACTAAAGTTATCTACACTCAGATCTTCACTCCAAAACTCGATCCCTGTATTTACCTTGCAGAAAACACAGTTCAGGGCATTAACAAATCACAGATTAGACTAAAAAGTATTGCACCACCATTATCTTTCTCAGTAATACAACAGCAACCATACCTGTATCAACTCTACAGAGAAGCTCACATTTCCTCAGCCATCGTGTATCAATATAGTATCAGTATAATAGTAAAGGCATACCAAGCAAAGCAAATTAATAAACCCCTGAAGACACCAGGAGCACTAAAACATCCAAATAGAAGTCTTTCCACCACTTCTAATGTACAGCTCTGACTAATAAGAAAATGCCCACCTGAGCTGCATGAAAGATAGATGCTTCATGAGAAGGGCCTGTGACCATTAGCTCTTTGAAGCAATGTGCTCTGAAAAGTGCAGTAACAGTAATTTGGTAGCATTTCCAGTTTGATGCAGGCAGGATTTGTATATTTTTACTCTTAATACATACCCACCTCTCTCCTATGAGGATCCTTGAATTTGTCAGTAATGGTGGCTATACCACCTTAAAGGGAAATTGCTTTCACCATAATTAGGCTTTTCTGAAAACAAACCAAAACCAAAGAAACCCAAATACGAAATAAACCCCCAAACCTGCACCTATCATTATTTTGGCCATTCACCCCTCCCTTAAATTACAACAGCTAACTGCTAATTTGAAGCAGCTGTGAGGAGGCAATAGAAGCTTTAACCTGACTAAATGAAGCTCGTGTTTGTTGGGAGAGTTGCTAACGGGCTGACAGTAAGCAGGAGAAAAAGAAACCAACCCTATCTCCAGTTCAGCCCAGCAGGACAAGAGGTTTCCTTAGTCCCACCCACAAAGCACAGGGATGTGTTATATATAGGGCCAAAGGACCTAGTACCGAGGTCTAATTTGATTAGAGTTTTTCTCAGGTAAAGTTTTTGGTCTTTATTGATTTTTAAGTCGGTCCATGTGTTGATTCATTATTTAGCATTGTCTAGAACAGAGTTGTATGAAATACATTCTAGATACTTGTATGTATTTCTGTCAGCCTTATACTTACTAATAAATATCTGATTGTAAGTGACAGATGAACTCATCCGTCAGGAGTCTGATATATGCAGGAAGCTTCTCTTTTTAATAAATTGGTTTTGTTTATTAGTCTGAGTAGTATTATTAGTCTTTATCACGTTCCTGTACACTTGTCTGAGGGATTTGTAACTCTTGCAATAAACAATGAAAGTTTTTAAGCCTTCAATTTTATGTAAATTCTCCTTCAAACAAAAATAAGCCAAAATCCCAAATAAATGTCAACAAACTGGTAACTACTTTCTGTGACTTGCAGAATATATATTTTAAACCTTTTTATGCTACATGACATTGTTAAGTTATACAAGCTGTGAAAGAGCTGTATGATATTAAAGAAGACTAAGACTTCAGATACCCTTGCTTTTGAGTAGAGTTCAAGATGCAGAGTTTTTGTTTCTTTTCTTCTAGGAAAGGAAAGCTATAGTTGAACATTGAAGACCTTAAATTTCAGCTACCTATGGATGTATCAGTGTTGCATGAGTAAAAAGGATGTTAAGTAGCCTGACTTCAAACAGTAATAGATTGCATTATGCTCTATATTCATTAACAGTTAAATAGAGCCTGGTGTATTGGTTTCTACTTTTAGTTTTGCTATTAGCTTGTAATGAGTATTTTTGAAATAGCCTTTTCTGATGACTTCATTATGCATCAGAACTTGTTTTCTTCTTGTGATCTTATCCTTGCTCAGGAATAAAAAGCACTAAGTAAAACAACTTACATTTCTGAACTGTGAAGTTTTGTACTGAACACCAACCTTTCATTAAGTCAATGTATTCTACTAACTATGATGTTAAAGGTACTCTCAATGGTTTGGGAGGAATGAAATGTAAATGAACTGCAGGCCTTGTGTACTTAGAAATAAAAATAGGAACAACTAACCAATTTTTGTTTCTTTAGGAACATGTACCTGTTTATTTATTCATACTTAATGTGTGGGAAAAGAAAAACCACCACAATTTCTACACATTTTGAGTCTCTTAATTTGTGGGGGTTTTCTCCTGGTTCCCAAAAAAAAGAAGCCTTAAACTATGTAACAATGTAGGTCTCTGCTAGCAACCTAATGCTATCACTGGTGTCTGCTAAATGTCTAGAAGACAGGTGCAAACCTCACCCGATTTGTTTCACTTTCTTATCCTGATGTACTTCCACAGGCAGGGTAAGATGGCTCAGAAGCACTAAGCTCTCTGATGCATCCTTTTCGGTTTAATCATGTGAATTCCTGCTTGCAACAGTTGAGCAAAAAAGCTTTCTCCTTCAACACAGGCAAGTTCTCTGATTCCCAGGCAACTATTTAAAGACAATTTTCTTTGGGAAGATTCTTTGCCTGTAGCAGAAGAGTGGCTCTCACCCCAGGTGAGACACCCTGACAGCACCACCCAAGTGCTCTCTGTGAATAAAGGTGCTAGCTCTCTCCAAAGAATGGTAATGGTTTCTTTGATGCAGCACTGGGCATCTCGGGTTGTTTGGGTGGTTTTTGCAGGGGAAACACAATAGGAAACCCCGGCACACAAACAGAACTATCCCAACACTACCCTCCTACAGCCTGTTTTGGCAGCTGTTTCAAAGAGGAGAAAAACCCTACAAAAAGTTTTATGTCATAAAGCAAATGAATCTTGACTTTTTTATGGATTAATTTTCTCCTGGAAATTCTTTAGCTGGTTCTTTCAGTAATGATAAAATCACAAAGCCTGCAAGACTGATGAAGCAGAAAAGGTTGTTATGTTAAGACCTACTCTACTGATGGCATTATGTACTTTCAGTCACAATATGTGTTAATATTAACTGTAGTGATAAAACAAGGAGTAATTCTTTTAAGCTTAAGCAGGGAAAGTTTGGGTTAGATGTAAGGAGGAAGTTCTTTATTGTGAGGGTGATGAGGAACTGAAACAGGGTGCCCAGAGAAGCTATTGCAGCCCCATCCCTGTCAGTGTTCAAGGCCAGATTGGATGGGGCTTGGCGCAACCTGCTCTAGAAGGTGACCCTGCCCATGGCAGGAGTTTGGAACTAGATCTTAAGATCCTTTCCAACCCAAACCATTCTGTGATTCTATGGTTTTAAGTTCACTTGCAAATTGTGGTTGCTGAATAGGTTCTGGACTTCCATTGTTTTTGAAATTTATTTATTGTATAAGGACTAGTAGTCAGTGCTGGGAAGATGTGGTGGTCCCCAGTGAGCTCTAACTAGGCGTAATGTGCTGGCTGGGTGAGTGGACTCTGTTAATACATCAAAGATCACACAAGATGATGGCTTGTGTTCAGAGGTATGCTCTATGAGCTTGGGGTGCTAAAGGGTACTGAGGGTTTGTTGCTGGTTCTAATTATCAGCTCACAAGCTAATGGCAGTGATATGACTGATCCACCACCCCTGGTTCAGCTCCACCTCTACTGTGCAGCAATGGCTGACCAGCCTGTCATTTGGCCATTGCTCTTCCCACTGCACTCTGGGGCAGCACCAGCCTCTGCCATGTCACCCAGTGTGAACGCGAGAGGTGCTGCATGATGGCTTTGGGGTAAGTTTTGGAATCAAAGAACCAACAAGGTTGGAAAAGACCTTCAAAATCATAAAAGTCCAATCTTTGCCCCAGCCCTGCCAAGGCCACCACTAACCCATGGCACTGAGGCCTTGTATACATGGTGTGTGAACACTTGCAGGGACGGTGGCTCCAGCACTGCCCTGGGAAAGTGTTTGTATGTGTAGAATTGATCCTTGACCTATGCCAGGAAGATCCTGAGGCCAAAGTGAGGTGACCTGACTGAGGGGTGGCACCATGATGGGTTTATGACTTCATTGCAGCTCCTGAAGTCCTTGTTGCACCATGAAACCACAGGGTTCAAACTTAAAACGGGAGATTTAGGTTAGACCTTAGAAGCTCTTCCCTGTGAGGGTGCTGAGGCACTGGCACAGGGTGCCCAGAGAAACTGTGGCTGCCCCATCCCTGGCAGTGTTCAAGGCCATGTTGGACACAGGGGCTCTAGTGGAAGGTGTCCCTGCCCGTGGCAGAGGTTGGAGCTGGAGGAGCTTTACGGTCCCTTCCCAAGCTACAACCTGACTTTCATCGTTTATTTTAACCCCAGGCACTGAACACCCCGATCACACACATCTATATGCACCAAAACAGTTTAAAAAGGAAAAAAAAACAACCCCAATACATAAGTTCCTCCCTCGCCAGCGCACCTTTAAACGCGGGACAGCCGAAGGGATGGGAAATGTCCGCTGTTCCGTCGACTTCCTCCATGTCTCGCCGCCGCCGCCGCCTCAGCGGGCAGCGCCACACGGCCGGGAGGCGGGAAACGGCGCGCGCCTCCCACAGGGCGGGCTCCGCGCTGCTGAGGGGAGCCGGGAGCCCGCCCCGTGCCCCGCTCCGCCCCGCCCCGGCCCGGGGCTCCAGCGGGAGGACGGCCGCTCACCGCCTCCTCTGCCTCCTGGGCCCGCCCTGCGGGAGGGTCCCGGCCGCCGGTGGTGGGTGCCTGAGGGGCTTCTGCGGAGGTGCGTGTGGGGGGAAAGGGTGGCGGGGCCCAGCACTCAGTGCCCTGTCCCGGTGGAGCGGAGGCCGCAGTGGGTGGGCAGCCCCGGCTTCCGCTCCGTTGAAAGGCCCGGGACTGGGAAAAGCGGCCGTGAGGGGGAGCGAGCTGGGCCCGTTGGGCGAAGGACTTGGAGGGATGTTGTTTCTTCTGGCCAAAGTCAGCTTTTGATTTCGTTTTTCCCTCTCTCAAGGTGCGATGCCGCCAAAGGGTCGCGGCAAAGGCAAGCTGCCGGTTCCTCTCCCCAGAGACATGATCCTGAAAGACACCGAAGGGAAAGTGTGGCGGCTGGGCAGTCAGATCGGCCAGGGAGGATTTGGCTTGATCTACTTAGGTAAAATAGTGGTGGTAGTTAAGAGGGTAACTTGTAAAAGTCTTTGCAACTCCTTAACATAAATCAGAATGGCCGTTAAAAGTTACTGTTGCTTACATGCTTGTGGTCAGCTGTGCTGAAGTGTGGTTTTCTGACGGTTGCAACACCCTGTTGGGCGTCTGTCTAATGTTGCTGATGGTGCAGCGTGTTCTCTATGCCCAGTTTGCTGCCTCCCTGTGTGCTTTGCTGTGGAGCTCAGGTGGGGTAGGCAAGGTGCTGCTGCTGTCGAAGAGGAGTGTTGCTAAGTGAGGCTCCAGCTAATGGGGATGCTTTCTTTAGCTGCTGCTTTGGACTGATGCCAGTCCTGTGCTCTGGAGCACTCTTTGTGTTTCCACTTACTGGAAGTGTTCTCTTCTGGCCAAGACTACATTAGTTTCCATGCAGGACGCGTAGCAGCAACAGTTAGTTGGGTGTTGCCTCTGAAATAAAACTTTCCACCAGAGGTGGAAAAGCTGTTCTTTATTTGCTCCGTCCTAGCTAGCTTTCTGTGTTTCCTTCAGAAGAAGCTGTTGCATTTCACTCAGGCAGTGTTTTATGAGGAATGAACGACTCTGAAAGGCAGTTTGTAAAGCATTCTGGGTCACTGGAGAGCATATAATGTATGTTACTATTGCTGGTCTCTATGAAACAGCAAACCCTGTTTGCAAGGCAATATTAAGTTTGGGATTTTTTGGGATGGGGGTGTGTTTTGTTTGTTTTTCCCCAAGGCAAACACGTACAGGCAAAGTAGTCCACAGTGGCTGTTAGGAACTAAACTGAACTTCTATAAGACAGCAGTAAAGAGTTATCTAGAAGCAGTTTAGTACATCGCCTTTGAAGCCAAACATGGTCTGTTTAAGTTAGAGATATGTTATCTCTCTATTTAGACTATTAATGTTTAAAACTTCATAAGCAAGTCACTCCTATACATAAATCAACTTCCCTTTATGTACAAACCAGCTAAACCTTCTTGTTTTACAGTTTTCCTTTCTGTGTGTGTTTGCCACGGAAAATAGTTTTGATGGTTTCCTATTCCTGGGAAACTCCTTTTGATTCCTACTCCTGGTTTTAGGTTTGTTTTTTTTTTCAGTTGATTTCTTAATGATGGTTCCTTCATATTGAGTGATTTGTTGGAAAATAATCTGTTCCAACACTGTTATGCAGCATGAGCTATACACTTAGTGTGATTTCCAGATCTTTATAACGAGAGAAGTGTTCATTAGAACAGGCATCATATGCCACGTGCGTTATCAGTTGTCTTTAGTAACTCCTTTCAAATATGCTGAGCTGTGCTGGATTTAATGTGGTTTCATGGGGGTGAAGGAGTTGTCCATCACTGTGAAACTGTAGTATCAGGCGCCTACAGTAGAGAGGAAAAAGTATGCTTTTTCTGTAGAAGGGTTAGCATGTTTGCTCTTTTGGTATTTGCAGACATAAACGTAGCGCTTGGGTGCTACTGAAAAACCTGGAGAAGACTAAGGTTGTGTGTATAGGTTTGCAAATAGTTTGGTGTAACAGAAGTGAATGAGTAAATGGCAACAGTTGCTGGGTATGGCCCTACACCTACACACAAATAAAGTGGAGGGTTTGTTTTACTTTGGACTGGATTTGGTGTGGTCTGCTCTGGACTACATTTAGTGTTATTCCTCAAAAAGTGCATGTTTGAGGCTGTCTGAAGAAACTGGTTTGAATCTTTATGTTGCTGTTAGTAGTTGGAGTGCATCTGATGGGTTCCTGTAGTGGAGTTTCTGGTTTGGCTTCCTATGGAGTTCGTATCATTGACACATTCCTAACTGCTCAACAGACTGAACCAGAGGCTTCAACTAATAGTTTTAGAGGAGCCAAAGATTAGGGCAGTTTTAGAATTTTTAGATTCTTTTCTTTTTGATATATCTGATAGCTTCTTATGACCTTTCCTGAACCATCTAGTTGATTCTGTGATTCTATGATCAGTGGGTTACGTTTGACAGATGCTGTGCATAGAGCATTTATGAGATGTTACCTTATGGTATTTTCTTATGAAAATAGAGCTTAGCATGAGCTAAGAAATGATGTTAAGGTGTCTCTGGATATTGGTGTTCAAGGATAAATGACAGGAAGATGGAAACTTGCAGAAGGCTCCTACGGAGAGAAGGAACAGAGGGAATGCAGTGCAGCAAGCAAGGTTGTAGTGGGTGTAGCTCTCCATCTGTAAGACAAAAAAATGTTGTGTTCCTGAATCACTTGGAATATAGCCTTGTCATTTTCTGTTGCAGCCAAACCACACTGGACCTTGTGGGTGTACAGCACATGGGATCTGGACAGTCTCATGCAGATTTAATTAGTTTTCTGCCTGATCACACAGACTGCTGAGGTGATTTCACATTGTGGTGTTTGTTAGAGTTTGGCTCCCACTGAACTGAGGTGTAAAGCAGTCAGTGGATTAGTTGGGAATGAGAATACAACCTGGGACCTTTGGTGTTACTATTCTGTGGGGTTTTTTTGTAAGTGGCAGCATGGCTGAAGAAATGCAGCTGCCACTTTTGTAATGGTATTTG